TCCTCTATGATGTCCCTGTTGACACCTATTTACTTACGTGTTTTGATGTTCGTGGTTAACAGGGAAATTGTTCTCGTGTTCACTGCTTCCAAAAGTGATGGTACTGGCAGCAAACTTCTGTCGCCTCGTCCATATTACGACTCGCATAATACCCAGTAAGCAAAAGAACACATAGTGCTCAGCCTTAGTCACCAGTGGTACGATATTGCTACAAACGGAACTGGGCTCGAGGACAAATAACTTTCTGCGCAGTATACGAAAAACAAACTTGCACAACGGACCTACGACCCTTCAATGAAAGAAAGCGTGACCTAGGGTCTCCACCTCCTCACTTTAGCGAACGCAGTTTGGAGACTTTGCAAGACCCGCAGAACAACAGTTGGGGATGGAGTAGAAGTATTTACGATCCAACATTATTTCAAAACTCCATCCCCAGCTCAAGAGGCACCCAGTATGTCGCTATACTGCGGGGAGAAAGCAGCCAGATGCTCCCCGATATCTGGAGGAGGGACCTCGAATAGTTCCTGGGAGGAGTCTTCCAAGAGTCCACCTTCTACTACAAGGTGAACGTAACTTTTGAGGATTCTAATTTATTAGCCAAGGATGGTGAGTTTAATCCTAAGTAGGAATCAGCACTGTTAACAGTCCTCCCCCTTTTCATGTGGACTATAGTGGCACCTTATTTATCACGCGTGTTTTAATGTACAGAGATTCTAGGCTCACATACATAATCCAGAATCTTGTTGGAAGAGACACCTCTCTTAGTCAAGCAATCTGCAACTTGGCTTGAGCCGGAAATACATTTAAGTTTACGTAATACCTTTTTTTCAAGCATTTCACGAATAATTGCAGTTTTAATTCTCAGCCTTTTATCCACTATTTGAGTAGATGAGTGAGCAGCCTGCATTGCCAGTTTTACATATTACTGGAAAATTTTTCAGTTTGTCTTCAATACATAAAAATTCTAGAAGATATTTTCTATAAAAGGTGCAGGCTTCCATAGTATCAAACATAGAAAGTGTCTCTGCTGTCGGCATACTTTTTACAACTTGCTCGACATTGAGATTGCCAAGAAATAGGAACATAACTATCATTGTCACCCACAATAAAGACAACATATCCTGCTTGAGATTCTCCATTGTTAAGTCCAGCAAACGCTGCATCACTATATGCTTCTAGTTTCATCCTTGCATGACTGCCTGTTGGGTATTAACAGTCTGGTGGAGATTTTCTTATCTTTCCTAGCTGATTTATTTACCAGTGTTATACTCACTACCTTTCTATCTCTTAAAGATGGTGTCACATCACTTATCTCATAAGTTAAAATTGAGCCATGTCTGTGTAGCTAGCCAATTTAGCTTTATTATTGAGCTTCTACATAATTTGAGCTCGTCATTTGACAAAACTGATTTTGAATTATAATCAGTCTTTGTAGGTCGCATAGGGATTGATTTGACAAACTCATTTTGACTAATTATTATGGACTCCTTTTGCTGATAAATCTCAAAACCAAAATATTTAAAACTTGAATTTTTCTCTAATCTGAACATAAAGACTTGCTTGATTTTCTTTATCACATTTTCTTCAAATTTTTCAGTGCCTATTCAGTTGAAATTATCAACATAAGTACCATGTAAAGGCAGCTTGGTCATACTTAGATGCGCAGTTTCCCAGTTTCATTATCTCTTCTCTAACTGTTAAATTCCATTCTTGAGAAGCATCATTCAGTCCATATTTAACTTCTATATATAACATTCAGGAACTTCAGCTTGTGAAGGCGGTTTTAGAAAGATTGTCCTTCAAATTGTTTCCCTTGCAAAAATACTGTCTTGATATCCATAGAATGGCATATCCATCTCAAAACCACAATGATGGTCAGGATAATTAGTAGGTTCTCCTTTGAGCAAGTAGGTGAGTAACTTCTAACATATCCTGAGTCTTCATTCTTGGAATCCTTTTGCAACCAGTCTGGCCTTTACTTTAATTCCCTCTTTTGTCTCTTTTCTGGTTCAAATCCATCTTGTAATTGTATTTTGGCCTGAGTTTGATAAAATAGAATAAACTTTATTTTCAGTCCAGCTATGTAATTCCTTCTTTTTAGCTTCAGCATATTCTACAATATTGACTGTTGAAAGTAAGTTCCTTGTTGTCAGAAAATTCCTTTTCAAAAGGGTCACTTTCACAAGAGTCTTCTTGTAGATTTTCTTTTTAACAGATTTTCTTTTGGAAAGTCTATCCACTCTATCATATTTTTCCTAAAATCAAGCCAAAACCAGTTTCCCCCCTTAATACGTTTAAAATATTTTTGTTTTTGCCAGTAGCTTTACCAGCATGACTGATTAATTTTCATTTTCTTCCAAGAAGGACCATTTTCTGATGCCACTTTGCACATTACCTCTTGACCTATTCCTGGTAAAATTACATCATCTGCCTTTGCAAATTGTTTTATAGATGTGCAGCCTTTTTTGGCTCCTGACTGCTACCAGAAAATTCGGAAAATGGTTCATGGGTAGACAAAAATAGTTAAAGTACAGATTTTGAAGATGTTGTGTAAAAAATATTAGCCCTTCCATGAGTTTTTGCATTGTCACTTATGGAAAAACTAATATTTTTTCTATCAAGTGACCCAGCCACACCATCTTCAAAATCTGTATTTTGACTATCTTGGATCTCATCAGTTGTTGGTGCATTCAATTCTTCAACAAATTACTTTTATACATCTGCAGATGACATGCTTAACCAACACCTGCTTGTTTTCAGTTCCTATAACTGTTCCTTGTCCCGTTCAGTGTTTTGATTCATTTCTCTTAAAATATATGAGATCTCCATTTCTATATTTAATAGCAGTAATGAGTCTCACCTTTTAGTGCAAAGCTCTTTGAATTTTTTTGGATGACTTTCACTGGATAAAAGCCTTTCTTGCTGCATGCATAGCATTCAAGTTGTTAGCTATGGATTCACTTGATGTAACATCCTCTAAAGCAGAACAGAAGACACATTAAGATTTTGTCCAAATACCAGTTGGCATTATGCAAAGTATTTTTGGAGCTCAGTGACCAATCAATGGCAAGTTCCAAGCTGCAGCAAGTGTCTTTCAAAGTTTTTGAGTACCATTTCATTAAGTATAGCATTGTGACACTCATTTCATTCACTGTACTTTGTGCTGGTGTAGTTTGTACAATAATATTAAAATTCTGAGCCATGTCCCTGAAAACTTCATTATCAAATTCTTACAATATAAAAATCTTTTCTAGTTTTAAATAAAGGGTTGATAAACCATAAAAAAACAATCTATCAATCAATCTTTACTGTTTTATACAATGCCTGTCCGGAAAGTATCAAGCTAGTCTGAATACCTTGAGAACCAGTTATACATTTTGACTTTACTGCACATGTGTAAAAACTCTTTTATGGAGTTACTCAGTCATCAGTGAGATATCATTACATAGTCTTGAGTACTGTGTGAGTGTCAGAGTCACTATGACCAATCAAGTATATTCTTTTTTTTTTATCTTGGACAAAGATTTTTGCCAAAACATTGCCTCACCCAGGTCTGTTGGCATCCCTCCAATATCCACATTTGGATCTTTATGATTCTAGCATTTTCCAAAGGTAAAATCACCATTAAAAGAGAGATTTCATATCATGGATGGACCATATCCCACTTGGAAGAAAGTATGACTAAGAACTGCATGTATTTTGTCCCATACAGCTGTGGCAAGGAATACAAAGAAGAGATTCACTAACACTTTAAAAATAAGAGTGGAGGAACTTCAAAAGGTTGTTGTTAGAAACATGGAAATCAGACATTGCTGATCATATATGGAGAGAAAAGATCAGTCATTAACCCCAGAGGATACAATGACTGAAAGTATCAGCACACATTTTAAGAGCTGAAAACCTTAGCAGTAGATCTTGTTGGGCAATACTATCTGGGAGCATGATTAAGAAGAAAGAACATACAACAAATATTCCATCACCTGAGTTAGGACACTCATAAAATCCCACCACCTGAGTACAGACAATAGGTTTAAACCTACTGAATTTCAACAATAGATTGTTTAAGATGCATGTGGCCTAGTGGATTATAGTATTAACTACAGAATAGTGAGTTCCCTGTAAGTTTAATCCTTGACTCTATTACTGCTGAAAAGTCATAAACTCTAGTGAAGATTGGTGAAAATTAACTGATATGAAATATCCATTGGCAAGGGGAATGATAACAATTTAACGCCATGGATTTAATAAAGGATTCAATTTGAAATTCTAAGAAAATTAACAAATACAAAAAGAGACACCAGAAGCTGGATGAAGAATACAATGACCAAAACTTTGTGATTGGTTAATTAATTGATTGATTTGTTTTTTATGGCTTATCAACCCTTTGCAGGTTAGTTAAAGCCAGAAAAGATATTAGATTGTAAGAATTTTTTTGAGATAATAATGGTTTACAGATACAAGTCTTACTAATTAACCCATAGCTGGGGGAAGAAGAGATGAAGTCATTCTTATTCCCAAGTGTTTACTCATCCAGGTACTGACCAGGCTGAGCATTGCTTAACTTACAGAAAGAAAAATATTTCAACATGATGTGGCAATAAGCCAAACATTGTGGGTATAACAATGAAGAGGAATATGCTCGTCCAAATATCCAAGTCTGGGGGAAGAAGAGATGAATTCATATCATTCCAAATAGCAAGGTGCATAATAATTATTAATTAACTGTAAGAATTTTTTTGAGATAATAATGGTTTGCAGATACACATCTTACTATTTAACCCATAGCTGGGGGGAGAAGAAATGAATTCATACCTTTCCAAATAGCAAGGTGCATAATAATTATTAATTAATTGAAATAATTTTTTGAGATAATAATGGTATTAATAAAAAAAAGATTATTTGCTTAAAAATGAATATAAAAAATTGAATGGGAATTGGAACTTGAATCTCTGATTAACAATTTTGAACCATTATCCATTACACCATCCACACATCCAAGTTTACAGCACATGGTATTTCCATGTGATCACTCATCTAGATACAGACTTTGCTCAACATTGCTTAACTTCAATGATCTTATGGAAACCAGTGTTTCAATATGATGTGGCTGTATGCCAAATATTGTGAGTATAACCACAAAACTGAACACACTCATTCATTAACCTATAGCTCAGGGAAGAAGAAGAAGTGAATTCATGGCTTTCACAAGGAATTTGCATGTAAATAAATATAACAAACCCAATAGGAATTGAAACTTGGCTCTCTGATTAACAATTCTAAATCATTATCCATTACCTCACCTACACATCCAAGTTTATTCTGAAGTGGTTACTCATCTAGGTACTGACAAGGCTCAATATTGCTTAACTTCAGTGATCTTACGGAAAAAAATATCTTTTAATATGATGTGGCTATAAGCCAAACCTTGTGGGTATAACAATGAAGAAGAATATGTTCCTCCAAATATCCAAGTTTTACTAATTAACCCATAGGTGGGGAAAGAAGTGATGAATTCATAGCTTCCCAAGTAGCAATGTTTATAATAATTATAACTCTGCATCCCAAAAGTTCTGACACAAATGAGAATATTTGTATAACAGGCTGGTAACATTGGTTTTACAGAATGAGAATGCCTAATGACATTTTGAAGCAGGAAATAATTAAGATTAAACAATGAACAAAACTCAGGGAAACTAATTAAGTATTGAGGAGAATAAGAAAAGAAAGATCGGATTAAAAATAATAAGAAGAAGCCATAAAATGAGTTTGGAGAAGCCTTTAAAAAGATTTGAACCTGAAAGAAACCAAGTAGAATTCATTAAGATTTAGTAAGACAAGATTTTCCCCAACCTACCCAGTCACCTCTAGGAGAGTATGACAGTCTTCCGAGATGCTTTTCAAATTCCAAGGAAGAATTGTTACAGTTTATACAAAATACAATTAGTCCCCAAATGTTCATTTTGTTATCAAAATTCAGACCAGGATTTAAGTCTGACTGCATTCCAAAAAGGGCCATCTGTTACAAGACAAAGGAAGGTCATGAATATCTTAATGAAACACAAGCAATAAATCAATGCCAGAGGTGTGAAAACCTTCTTATGCCAACGAAATGGCAAGAGACAAATGGGACCAGACAGAGAGAAGATGGCAAGAAGATAGATTTATTCATAAACCTTTTTACTCCCTCTTGCCACTACTGTTTCTGCCACTATCAAACACACAGACACAAACCTAGTTACAAAAGAATACAGTCCCAGGAGTCAAATTATTACAAATTACATCTGGAATAATTTTCTTGATAAAAGATTGTCAATGAGGCTAGAAAGATTAATAATTGTTAATTTCTTTTGTACTTTTAAATTCTTCAATTTGTTTTCATTAAACCTGTTGTTAGTTAACAGAATTTGTTGGTTTTCCTCTGGGACAATGAAGTAATCATGGCTGCAGAAGTTTCATACCTGAAATCTCACTGTGATTACAACAATCACTGGATGAAATCCTCATCAAATTTGATTTCCTTTCAGTTTACTGATGTTAACATGAAATAGATATGAAGATAAAAAACACCACCAACTTGTGATGCCAAGTATATTAAATTTTTTGGTAACACTGGGGCAAGGAATGGCAGATAGATGAAACAAGAGTAGAGGTAGGGTTATACCTGTCTGAAAATATCATCTGCTTACAGTAGTGTCTTATTTGAAAATTTTATCCATCAACAGACAAACTAAGAGCCTCTATTTGTTGTCATATGAGGCCTTTTATACCCACTAAATATCTTGCTGGTCTTATATGTGAAGTTGAGTCAGTGGTGTATGTAGAATAACAGCAGCAAAATTAAATGTAGACCAGATTTTTTCCTTTTCATTAATTAATATTTGTCATCTACAATTTTTGTTTTTTATTTAGTCTGTTTTTCCTTTTTTCAAATCATGATTATATTTGACATTTTATAGATACGTTCAAATTTAGAACCAAGTGAGTTTTGTTGAGAAAATCAAACTGAGTTTGCATTTTTGCTAAAAAGCAATTCAAGTTCGTCTAAATTTCTGAAGTGAATTTTTATTAGAAACAAAGAATGAAATGCTAAAAAGCTATTTCATATCTATTCCCTTATATATCAAGGCCTGCTGGATGATTTCCTCACTGATGAAGAAGAGACTTAAAGCAACAGAGATGTGGTTCTACAAACAGATGCTGATAATGCCATGCATTGAACATGTGAGCAACAAGGAAGTTTTTTAAAAAATGTGAACTAAAAAGACATTCATGCTTAAAATCAGGAAATAGCTAAAATCTCTAGGGCACATTATAAGGAAAGAGGGCTTGGAAAATTTAACACTCATAGGACATATTGAAGGTAGGAGGGGCAGAACAAGAGAGTGAGTAACTTATCTGATGAGTTCATACAAATGAATGGTGACAATGAAGACAAAGAGAAATGTTAAAGTGTCAAACATTACATTGAATATGGATGCCATATTTGATCTGAGCTTCTGTAATATATCTAGAGATTCTTGACAAAATTCAAAGACAGGTCTGTAATTTTATTGGTCCTGACCTGGCATATCAACTCCAGTCTCCTTCCCCCAACTATGATGTAGTTTCCCTCTGTCTTTTCTATAAATATTTTCATGGTAATTGTTCTAATGAGCTCTTCTCTTTTGTACCTCAACTGCAGGAATTTAAGTGTACTACTAGATTGGCAACTAGGTCTCATTATTTTATTATTGAAACAGCTAGATGTAACCATAAGTTCTATTCTAATAGTTTCTTCTCTCACACTTCTGACCTGTGGAACACTCTTCTGGTTTCTTGCTTCGCTGTCACCTATATGGCAAAATTTTAACTGCAATGTCAATCTTTTGTGACATCACTGAACACTCATTGCCACTTTTGTAATGTCAACGAATACTCATCACTTTCATAATGCTTGTTGTAGTAGAGATTTTGTAATCGCAGATAAAACTTTAGTGACACTGTTGAACAATATTGGTGTCAGTTGCCTTCAAATAACACTCACACTAATAGTACTAGCTCAATAATACTCGCTTGGGAAGTAACCACCGAATAATGATCCAAATAATAATGTGTATAGTGATCACTTAGACATCATGCTAATTTCCATATATACATTTCCTTTACCATCATGTGATCTACTTATTCAAAATGGGATCGCCTGTGTTTGCTCTCTGGTGATCTGTGTTCAAACTCCAGTGTCGGCAACAACACTTTATTCCTATATAACACAATCACTATCTTCTAGAAACCTGTTCTTTTATTGTCTTTAACCTCACTAAAGTTTTCTCATTCTCTTTCACACTCAGTAACCCCTGTTGCCTTAGTGGCATTATTGCTTTGGTTGGGGTGAAATCATTTTTTAAAAAATGATCCCACTGTTTTTTTCCACTTTGGAAAGTAAAGCTAGAAAAGCTTCATTGTATATATGCATGTATAGCTGGCCACTCGTATTCAAGGATACCCGCCTACTAGGGTGGCTAGCCAATCCCTATTGCAGACGCTTGCTCAGACACAATTGTGTTTATTCAACACCCAGAGAGCCCAGCTGTGGTTTATACTGCATACTATGCTGAGCAGACCTTAGTTACAGTTTCTGGGAAAGATCATGTTATCTAGCATGATCAACAATTTGGCCATGATGACTTGTGACTCCATGCTAGCACAGCTATCAATGCCTCCCAAGGGTTCCATCTACACAATTTCATTCACAAGGCTTAGGTCAACCCGTGTATGGTTTCAGGCACTTTCCAAAGGTGCTGCATGGTGGCATCAACCCCTCCAGTTTGATAACATCAGGAAGTCTCCTTCCTGAAAAATCAACCATGTTGAGATTTGAACCTGGGTCTCATGGTCAGGATGCGAATGTTCTGACCACTCGGCCACAGGTGTCATCAGAAAAGAAGCAGCTTGCATTTATAGCCTATGAATTTTTTTAATAGCTTCATAATTGAATTTTACTAATTTGTAGGAAAATTAAGCAATTACAATATTAAATTACCAGAACCATGAAAAGTGCTAACTTAGCACAAGGAAATGAATGACTTGTAAGTAAATAAGCAAAAATCTTCATTAGAGGACATTTTAACTTCCTGTGAGATATGTGCATAACATATAAAAGAACTGAAACAAGATCTATTTTTAGTTTATACCTGGGCCTATATTTAACCAATCTATGGCTATAGTTACCAAAGAGAGCCTTACAGTCAAAGTTTGCATTTTCTTGTCCATAGTATAAATTACAGAGTATTTATGAAACTAAGTTGAAAAAACATAAAGAAATAATCTTTGCATTCATCATTGTGTTGTATATTTTAATGCACCTTTACTGGTACATTTTTGTGTACTTTTCTGACATGGCTCAAAATTTGAATACATTTTTTTTTTGGAGACTACAGCAGCTTAAAGCCCATTAAAGAGACAGAAAATGGTGAAGAAAATTGTAGAAGATGCAAACTGTAATTTCAATATGGCTTTAACATGCGATGTTAGTGCTAAGAACATCCTTCACAATGTTATAAGGTTGCAAGAGTAACAAAAAACAACAACAAAGTATTACTACTGAGGTGGAAAGTAAAAGAGAGTAGATATGTTAAAATAAAATTATCTGATTTGCCAGTATAATGGAGCAAGATGGAATGTTTATTTATTGGTGAGTGAAGCAACCTGGAAGAGAAGAGTTTTGGTTGTACAAAGGCATAGCATTGAAGCTTGTATTCAATCTATTGACTGGGAAGCCACTGGTAAACTCTGTGACTACCTGACTACTACCTTCAGTGTCACTGAGCAGATCCTTTTAAACAGTCAGGGTGTACACATGACTCAGTATTTTTTGTCATGCTTTTGTTTTAATGGTGATGTTCCTGATTGGCTCTGACATTTAGATTTATTTTATATTTTGGGGATTTGTTTTGTGATTTTCAGTACCCCTGGGCAGAGAATGACCTTTCTTTTTTTATTTCTGCCTTGTTTCTGTAGCATTTACATCCAGCCAACAGGTTTTCCATTATGGAATGAATCAGAAAGAGGTCCAATTGCAAGTTGAGTATAAAAATGTTGCCTACAGTTTTTTGGAAGAAATTCCAATCTGGT